TGCTCCGTAGTAGAAAAATCGGCTTTTTCCTCTTCTCAAGATGTGATCCAACCACTTGAAAGCTCAAAAAGCTGTGAAAACTTGTTTTATGAAATCAGTGTGCATGAATTGTTTCATGAAATCAGTATGCATGAAAATCCCATTGCATACTTCTTACATAATTTGAAAATAAAGACGGGTCTTCAGAACAGGTTAAAGTGGACTTCGTAGGAAATTTTTCAAGATCAAAAAGGACTTCGTTTTGGTATCTCCCTGGTGCCAGCTCGTGCCAAGCCCTGATGGCGACAGCTCCCAGGAACGAAAGTTTTATATCTCTGTAGTTGTGCAAAAGACTTGGAATCCGAAACTGCAATAGATTAGATGGCCAGTGTTTAGTACAGCCTTTTCATGGTTTTGTTGCACATTGTTTTCGGCGTTGTCATCTATCTAATATATAAAGAATCGTTCGCTCAATTTAAAATCTTTCAATAAGGGAAATTGCGGCGGGTCCCGAAGCAGACGCTCTTCCAAATAGCACCTGATTACTGGTTTACTAGTCACACAGAAGCACCATAATGAATGTTGAATCTACTAGACTGTACAATGGCCTTTTTGATGAAGGTCATCTTCGCGAATGAAGGCATTGTTGGCTTCGAATGTAATCCATCATCTTCTGCCCTTCTTCTCTATAAAAGACATTGTAGTTGCCTGTATGTTGCACTAAGGAAAATGTATAGGTTTACTCAACTGCTTTGGAAGTGCAATTTTGAGGCAAAGCGTCGTATGCATTGTCTGATCGTTCAAAATTCTGTTTTTTTTTTGTTGAGCTCGGTAGCTTGTTATGGCATCTTTGAAGATCATTGCCACTGATGGCGATGACTTCTCTTCAAAGCTGCATTTAACGTGATTTCGATAAAACAGTATAAGTACCAACACTTGGATCGAAGTCTCTTCCTCTGCGCTCGTTATTGCACTGCATTCCAGGGTTGCGTCTAAATGGCGATTCAATTAATAGCAGTAAGGGGATGTAGTGTGTCGCATTGATCTGGTAGGATGGACTTGAGGTGTTGAGAGAATTTGGGTCCACCGATGATTTCCCGAAAAATGGTGGTACATGTGTAGGCGAAGTGTCTAGAGGCGTGCACGCTTTAGAAAGAGAGCCTTGCAACAAAAAAATCATTGGTACTGCATACTAGAGATTGCAGTAGTTCTGGTAGGAGCACTAATAGGTGTTTAGGGAGTATCGGGTTACTTCTGGCGGAAAAGCCTTTGAGTTCGGAAGGAAAGTTCCACTGTGTGGTTCTGAAGATGTGAAATGGTAGTGGTTGTGTGAAAAAGCTTAAGAGAGGTCACATGTACCCATGGAATTGTAGAATGAGAAAGAATTCGCGCTTTCTACAGGAGATCTGAAGAGTTCGTGCAGGATATTGCGACGCTTTTTTTGTTCATTTTTTTCTTTTAAATAACGTACACACGCGAGTCCAATCTGGCGAATTTTTTCACATAGGACGAAAAGTGCGAGCTGTCGATGGTTGGTGTGCTGTTGAGTGAGAGTCCATTGAAATACGGCCTATAACGCATTTTTCTGCCATCGCATGAACAGTGAATTGCTGACGGTAGCTCTTTTTGAATAAGATTACAGCTTGAAGGAACGGTCTTATGAGGAGTTTCATTGAGGGAAAATAAGTGAGCAAATCAAAATATAAAACCAAGAAACGCTTTTTTGGGAAACACAATAGGTGACCATCACGTCCCACGATTTCCGCTAAAATAAATGAAACTAAATCTTGAGATATATTAGGTTACCGAAAGTTCTGTCGCACCATTTTCAAAAAATCATAGCTTCTTTCGCCCACAACAATTTTGCGCAGTTCAAATTTTACCTGAAAGCGTAAGCATGTAGTTTCCAAAAGTCCCCTGTGGACTTTGCAACATGCTCAGGTTACAGGAATGAAAATGAAAAAACGAGATCATCCGAAATTCGGAATTTTTAAGCAAAAATTCTAAAAATCTAGAATCTGTGCGATAAGACCCAGAACAGCCATATCACAATTTTTCTTATATTTTATTACTAACTGAGTCAAGTTTGTGCTGATTGAGCTCTTCTTTCAAAAGTTATGATTTTTTGGAAAAAAGTCGAAAAATCTATTTTTTAAAGAATTCTTAAGAAATAGATTTTTTGCATTTTTTTTCAAAAAAACGTAACTTCTGAAAGAAGAGCTCAATCAGCACAAACTTGACTCAGTTAGTAATAAAATATAAGAAAAAATTATGATGTGGCTGTTCTGGGTTTTATCGCACAGATTCTAGATTTTTAGAATTTTTGCTTAAAAATTCCGAATTTCGGATGATCTCGTTTTTTCATTTTTATCTCTGCAACCTGAGCATGTTGCAAAGTCCACAGAGGACTTTTGGAAACTACATGCTTACGCTTTCAGATCAAATCTGAACTGCGCAAAATCGTTGTGAGGGAAAGAAGTTCTGATTTTTTGAAAATGCTGCGACAGAACTTTCGGTTCAACCTAATATGTGGAAGAAGCTATGCTAAAAATAACTAACTTCCAAGTTTTTGCTTTTCTACACAAAAAATCTTCTGTACATTTCCACTAAACAGCTCAAACGACTTTTCAAAGTCTATGTAACGTGAATTAGTTCTGTCTAGAATGTCAAAAAATTCAGTGTTCGCTGAGTTGAATTTTGCAGAGCGAAGATTTAGTCAAAAATTTGAATTTCATGTTTTCGAAGGTTTTCGATCTAAGGAAACTGCATAATTGCAAGAACTCTGGTATTATCAAACCACTCCGGAAGTTTTCTAGTTACTCTTCAAGTTTTGACGATTGCAAAAAAAGCGACCAAAAATTTATTTAGGATGCATACAGCGCAGTATTGCTTTTTCCCTTTCGAAAAGTTATAAACGATGACTTGAAGAATATCTAGAGTTTTCTGGTCTCATCCAAAAACGATGAACCACAACTAATCCCTTTACATAGCGTAATCAACATTTCAATAATTTCATTCACTATGCATACTTTGGTCTTTGAAATGTTTTCTTTTTCTGAGTTCTGAAGTCTTTATTTGGCAACTGTATAAAATCAGTGTTGAATGAGTATTAAGTAGTACCCTAATTTCACGCGTACAAGGCGCGGGGTGGTCCTAGCTTTCATCGACCAGCGCGAACACGGCAAAGGACTTCGCAACCAAAGGAGCCCCATACCGTGCTGCGTTTTGCCTGACGATCGTGCGGCATAAGGATCGCTTCTCAAAACACGTTGGGGCGGCTGAGCAGCTCGATGAAAGCTAGGACCACCCCGCGCCTTGTACGCGTGAAGTTAGGGTACTATAAAGCGACTTTATTCCATTCGAGCGTTCCCTAGTACACGGTGTTTTAAGGCTCTTGGCAGCTTATCCTTCACTGCTTTTAACCCATGTTTTGTTATTTTACATGGAGGAGTCACTTTGACTAAAAACACTTCCTTGTAATTACAAAAAAGATGTTTATGCAGGAAGTTTTCAACGTAACTACAGCAGTAAAACAGGTCGCAAATTTGCTTTCTATAGGACTAAGCCGAGAACACCTTTGCAATGTGGTACTTGAAAGTAAGGCGTTTTTGGTCAGAGTTTCGTTTAAGCTTACCGCCATTTTATAAGGATCACACGCTGATCCCAAAACTGTTTTTGGTTTCTGCTGCGCCACTCCGTACGCCAAGTTATGAGTGTTTCTGGAATAAAAAATGTACGCTTGATTGAATAATTCATTCGTTACGGTCCCTCCAGCGCTCAAATAAAGCAGTGGCGATTGTGAGCATACCAGTCAAAAGTGCGCATTGTATATACTGCTCTAATACCCATCGCTGGCTCATCTTAGCGGTTTTGAACGATTTTGCTCAAGTTAAGCGTTTGTTTTTCTGGCTCAAAATGTTCCTAAATTGCCTTCCAGAGGTGCACAGCAGCTTGGATCATCGTCTAATGCCCTTCAAAATCATATAGATTTTCATGTGTTCTCTTCTTTGAACCTGGGCATTTTCATTTTGATCGTTGTGTAGGATTTTCTTATGCCGAAACCAGGTTAATTGGTGGAACTTTATTGACTCAACGTTTCGAACAGTTTGTCTTCGTCAGGAGTCTGAAAAGGATCGTAACTATTCGTACTTTTACTACACCGCCAAACGTCTCGTCGCTGCCCGTTTAGACCTTCCCTTCCATATAGATTTTATCTGGCCACCTTCACTGGTAATGCTTCCTACCAAAGGTGTTAGAGGTGTGCAAGACACTGAGCGAAAAGTTACTAAAGATTGAACAACGTCCCTTATCCTGTGAGGAAAGAACAAGCTGCGAGCATTTGTTCAAGGTATAATCGTCCTCACCCACTAGTCGTTCGGCGATCGAATTCGAAATTGAGAGCAGGCCAGCCGCGGTAGAGCGCGGCACCCTCAGTCTCCAGCTCAAGCTCACTTACGTTTTCTCTACTTTCTTCCTAGTTTCATGCTATTTTATGGGCTTTAACGGTTTTCCTAGTTAGAAGTTACAATATTTTAGTTGCTGAGCGATGTTTCGTATTGCTGTTTGTTATTGTCGTTTCTTTGACTCCTAACTTGGAGAAGACATGCTGATAGGATTCTGTGGCAAAAAATGTACTGAACCAAAACTTCAGTGTATGTTACTCAACAAAGAACAACTTACGAGCAGAGATTTCCTATCTTCACTGTTTCACCAAGTTTACCTAAAAGCAGAGTTGAAGAAACGAGCTAAGTTGTGTGAAACATATTCAATAACAACATAGTCTCATATTTTCATCACGAGCATCTTGAAACACAAAAATAGCATGCAATGACAAAAGAAAAAACGAAGAAAAACACGCGAAGCTTTGTATGAGGGTTGGCGGCGCCGCGCTCTACCGCAGCCAGCCTGCTTTAGCTCAAATATGAATTTGTTCATCGAGTGACTAATGGAGTGAGGCGACTATATACGTCACGCACCTGTCAATACTCCTTCAGGTTTATCACTGCACTTTGGAGGGACAGATGGCTGAGATGAATGATCTCGCAAAGTTCAACTATTTATCATTTTTTGAAGTAAAATCTTCATACTATCAATGGATAGGACGACCTGACCTTGATCAAGTTTACTCTCTCGAGCTTCATACGTGAGTTTGGTCATTATAAACCCACGCACCGTTAACCACTGTCCTTCAGATCCGATAACTTCAATGAAATGTCCTTCGACAACTCTTATGGTTGCATCAAGCTTCACGATAATGTGTATTATATCTGTCTCGGGTACTGAATAGTATACCGTGTACCTTGGCCATCTTTTCATGACTTCCGCCCGCGCACGCATCAAGCTTCCGACTGCCTTCCAGGCACCCTCGTGTTTTGAAGACTTTGGCTTTTTCTCTTCTTTCTTTTTTCCCCTCTTATACTCTTTATGTCAAGCAAGAAGTTTGCAAAAATTCGAAACCGCTGCAACGCGTCGTCTTCCCTATTGATCAACTAGTTGAGGAGTTAAAATGAGGAATAGTCTGCTGGTTGCGCAACAGACCTCTTTTGAACTTTTTTTTCAAGTTAACGCAACTTGAAAAAAAAGTTGCACGGAGACTCGCCGGGGTAGTGCATTATCAACAACAAGCAACTCAAACAAGGAAAAAAGCGACACAAAAGTATTAACGACAATTGTTTTTAATGAAATGCCTACAAAAGCGATCATCTATTCCATGATTAGAAAACTCGAGATTGCCTTGCATGTTGTCTAAATAAGCTTGATTTTATATTTAGCAAGTTTTCGCGCATCCGGCGAGATCATCTTTGTGATCTTTTTCATCTAGGACTATTTGCAACATAAATATTACGTCATTCCGAAAGTAATTTCGCTTTTTTCAAACGGACGCCACATGTGATGGAACAAAGATTTCTAAGAGATCTTGGAGGCATTCGATGCAGAATTTCGTCTTCTTTCTAATGGTGACAAAATTATTGCAGCATAGTCAATGAACTTTCAGAAAATAACCAAAATCTGCGACCTATGCTTTTTGAGATGGTCAAGTTTTACCATTTTTTAAAACTTTCATATCAATCCTCAGAAGAAGTTCAAGTAACGATTCGATAGAGTGAGCCTTATAGAATACAGTACTACTTTTTTCTCTTCCTCATAGCTCGCCGTAGTATTTTAAAATTTTTTTAACAGAACTATCGGATTTTGGCAGGCCCACCTCAGCCATAGTCGCATCAAACATCATAATTTTTCGGAATCTGAGACTACCAAGATGGTAGTATGAGTTAGCATTAATTTTACAGAGCAAGTGAGGGTTTACGGGTTCGAAATATCAAATTTCGCGTTTTTCGGGTACAGCCTGGGGCTCACTAAAAAATGAGTTATGATGATTTCTCCCCGGAAACTAAACGAATCGGAACAAAAACATCTGTTAAAAAGAGGAGAAAATGCTGCATAGAATAGTGCGCGAGCTGCTTTTCTTTTGATGTTCTACGAGGATTTAGCTGCTCAAGTATGGAAATCGGTAGCATCAGTTAAAATTCTGTTAAAAATGTATGACAAGCTATGGAAAGGAGAAAAAAATAGTACTGTATCTTATAGGATTTACTCTATCGAATTGTTACTTGAACTCCTTTTGAGAATTGATATGAAAGTTTTAAAAAATCGTGAAACTTGACCATCTCAAAAAGCATGGGCCGCAGATTTTGGTTATTTTCTGAAAGCTCATCGACTGTTTTGCAACAATTCCATTACCGTTAGAAAGAGAATGAAATGCTGCATCGAATGCGTCCAAGATCTCTTAGAAACCCTTGTTACACCAAATGTGGCGCCCGTTTGAAAAAAGCGAAATTACTTTCGGAATGACCTAATACATTGAACAGTTAATGCGGTTTTTCGAGCCTCTCAGCCAGATAGTGAAGGATAGCTTATGTATCATCAACCTGCTATTCGGGATTAAGCACGTTAAATTCTCCAGATAGAGGCAATCATGGATTGCGTTGTTATGGGACCTGTGTCACTTGGTTGCAGTACCTCAGCAATTTTCGAGCAGGGGCTGAGTCAACTTGAACGAAAATCCAAGAGAGGTCAGCTGCAGCAACGGGTAGACCCAGCCTTTCCCGGATCGACTCCTCAAATATGTTAGGTAGCAGGGAAGACGATGCGTTACAGCAGTTTAACGGCCATTCTCGCAAACCTTCTTGCCTGAAGAGAGAGTGTAAGAAGAGAGGACGAAAAAAAAGAAGAAAAAAGCCGAAAACTTTGAGAGCGCACGAAAATACGGCTGCGCCCTGGAAGGCAGCTTGACGCGTGCTGCATGTGCGGCACTGAAGTACTCATAGGAAACTGGTCGGGGTACACAACATATATCATTAGTCGTATGACGTTTTACACTACATCTGCTGGTCAGAATAAACGTGGATTGATGATGTGACTGTAAACTACATTTGGGGTAATATGTTTTGAGATTATAATAACGGGTAAGGGTGTTTAGGTGAGTTTATGAGTGCGTCTATTACGAAATTCGTAGAGCATGCTTTAGTCAACGCCCTGAGCAAAAAGCGGATAGCGCATGCTACCATCATAAAGGTACACTATGCAAAGGCATGAACGAATCCCTTAAGTGATCCCTCAAAAATTGCGCGTCAAGCTGATACACTTGGCTGGCCAGTAAAACTAGGTCCGCAGCAGCATTTTTTGTAAATTCATGTATATAAAAGGCGAATGTGCATGTCATGAATTTGGGCCAAGAAAGTGATTGAAAGTCTATCATTTTACGAGAAGAGGGCAAAAGGTATTGGTAGCGTAAATGGTCAATTTGCCAGTTTGAACTTTTGCTTTTTGCAACAAGTTTCATCCCACGAAAATACCGATCTCACATGAAAAAGCTTCTGGAATCAGTAATTGTTTACAATTTATCTGTGGTATTCAGCATTATGCAATAAGTTTCAGTTTTCTGTTTCATTTCAAATCTCCTTCTCACGCAGACACAACTAGATCTAAATTTGCCAAAACAATGTAATCTCCAAAAAATGCTCCTTTTTCCTCAGCGAACTTTTATCGTTAGCATTCTTATTGTAGGAGCAAAGCTTGGCTACCCATTCCCTCCAATAGTCCACTTTTTCAAGCATGTCTAATTTACAGATGTTTACCTTAGCAAACTTCTAGTTCATTGTGAAGGCTTTTGACACTTAATTCCCAACTGTTCACGATGTTTGTGAAGAATCTTATAATTAAAGTTAAATGTATGCTATTTGTACAGTGCGTCTAATGGGGCCAGCATCGGGTGATGCAGTCACATAGTATACCTACAGGGACCATGCTGCGCACAGCATCGCGGTCCTTGTTTTTATCATTTTATCTCGTGATTTTCCCTTTTAATAACACCGAAATGTCATTTTTATGCTTTTATGCTCATATGCTGAAGTCTCTTGAAACTGGACACGACTTTTTCGTAGCAAAGGAAGGAGGTGTCAAGTTTTTGAGCGATTTCTTTCATGCCATCTTTCGGTTCATCCAGGGCTTCTTCGGGTGGCTGCCCACTCAAACTCTTCTCTCAACCTATACGATATACAGTGACCCGCAAAAAGTTGCGGACAAGCCGCCTTCCTTTCTTCATCGCTAATTTTCGGATGGAAAACAACGATGAAAAAATGTTTGGATTGCATGAGGTGATAGAGCTCTTCAAGAGCTACAACCCCACATTGTGCCTTCTGGAAAACATGCACTTTGAGAATTTTAAAAATCTTTTTCTAAGAAGATTCCGAAAGTGGCCGCGTCACAATGTCGCGGACAATAATTCTTCGAACGCGAAAATTTCCTTTTGGGTCCTATTTTTAAGTGGAAACACAAGTAATCCGAACAGGTAAGCATATGTAGTATGTATTGTATTGTCCTAAACAAGCTTGCCTTATAACTTTGTATGAACCTTGATACTTGCTGGTCGTTGTTGAATCTGACTGCTCCTGTAAACGTCGTGTTAATTTTAAATTACGACTCAAATGGCGCTCTATCTGGCATAGCTCCGATGAATTATTTATAAAAATAGATTGACACAGACTGACAAAAAAAATGAAAAGAGTGAATTAAACAATATTACAACAAAGTTGGTAGCCCAAGTACAAATTTTTATAGATTCTATGAGGACTGCCTCCCCGCCACGTTTCAGGAAAGAATTGACACGTTCTAGTCCACTTCGACATGTTTTTTCGAAATCATTTCCGTTGAGGTAAAAAAGCACTTGTAACCAATTAAAAGCTGTTTAGCTGATTTATATAAGAGCAAAACAATTTAGAACCACTACTAGAATATCCTTGATTGCTTCTAGCAATGATTCAAGAATGTACCGTCTGCGCCCCAGAGATGTTCCCATGTGAACCAGCGTGCGTACGTGGTGCGACGCTGCCTTTCGCTTATTTGACACGTTTCTCCTGAGATTTCAACGGCAGTGCCCGAGGTTAACACGTTCAAAAGTGCGAAAGGCAGCGAGATGACGTGGTACCTATGGGAACCTCTCTGGGGCGCAGACGATATTTCTTTCAAAACTTTTGATGGCTTGAAGTAGTACCTCGCTGCTGCTTTTCGCCGCTTAGATGATAGAACTTCAGCGCACTTCTCTATTCCGGGCATGTCTGGTATGCTCATTATTGAGAGGGCGACGTTGTTATTATAACATTGTCATTTCTGAAATGTTTAATAGAAAACAGGGTCATTATTGACCAAGAAAAGGTTGAATTTATGTGGGTAGGTATAGCAACATGAACTCTTGGTAAAACTTGAAACATGTAGATGGCATGTCAAATTTTTTTGACACGTAGCAGAAGGTTGACAATTTTTCTTATGAAGTGGGACCAACTATGGTTCAAGGATTTGAAGAAATGGGTCCGGATAACGGAAAAGTACCCAAAGTTGTATTTGCTCGAATTCTCAATGCAACTGTAGAGTAAACATGAGGTCTTTCACGCGACTTATCAACGGGCCACACGTCAGGACCACATCGCGCACATCTCGTGCAGTCGGCGCCCCTTTGCGCAAGCAACGCACGTGTTTTCAAGATAGGCGGGCGAATTCGCTCAATAACTTGAATGACTGCGCGCTCTTTTGTGTCCTAAATACAAATATGCGTGTTGGTTCTATGTACTAAATGTGTTTTATGTTTATTGAACCATTCTTCTATGGACTTACATGGCAGATTGTTCGTTTCTTGGATTTCTCCACATTTGCATAGTGGGCAAGAGTCAGCTAGACCAAACCTTTCATATGTCAACGACCATATGTAACATTTTTGACGCTTGTTG